GTAAATTCCCACTCCTCCCCTGGCCCACTTCTCTGCATTTTGGCAAGAAGTTTACTTTCTGGAGCAGTGCAAATTCTGAATAAGACTACTTTGAGACAAGTGCACTTACCCAAAAAAAAACAAAAAACAAAACAAAAAATACAAGTGCACTTACCAAAAAATAAAAAAAAAAATCACCCGAAAAAAACCAGCACAATCTTCAAAGGCAAGTCCTAATCAATGTCTCGGGTCTGACTACTTCTATCAGCAGAACTTCTCAAAGACTAACCCAAAAACCAAGTAGAAGATCTTGCAAGCCTTGCTTGGGAGACTAAGGCATGATGGCTGGCAACTTCAGCTTTTAGACTGATTCCTTGTTTTTTTCCCCTGGATCTTTCAGATGTTTCAGATGAAGCAAAACTCTTTTCCTTCTGTGTCTCTTAAAAGCATGCAATGGGTGGTGAGCCCCATACCCATACTGCTACAGTGCAGCTTTGGTGAAGATGCCTGGAGGACATTACATAAAACTCTGGTCATACAAGTCAGTGTTTCTGCCTGCTGCACAAAAAAATTCCTAACATCAGCTGCCTGGACTGACTTGGAAGACTGAAAACTATCCTATAGACGAGGCTAGGGTATCACTGCCTGTCAGACAGGGAGGGAGCTCTGCTGCTGCTGCCAGTAGCTTGGCAGGCAGGAGATAAGTCACTTTAAAAGAATCCTTCAAGTTGCTTGGTAAGAAAGGAGGCTGGGAACAGGCATGGAGGACACAAAAGACACAAAAAAGCAGAACCCAGTAACTTTGCCACATCAACAGGAGATGCTCCCTAAATAACTGTCAACAGACAGCTGCTAGGACTACAGGAGAAAAGCTAATTCCATGGTATTAAGCAGGAAGACAGTAACAGATGGAAGTCCAAGACAGCTATGGGGAAGCTGATTAGCAGACCAGCTTCACTACAAACCAAAAGCATATTCTCTCAATTTCTAATAGCCAAGGATTTCACCACCTTTAACAAGCTTAACTCCACTAGCTATGGGATTCACAGCAGTAATATTTTGCAAATGGATGACTGAGGAGCGAAAGGACTAACCTATCATCAGGTCTCAGTAACTACAGGCAGGGACCTGATGAACGACCTCCTCAAGTCCTGGGCTAACCCTGCTTACAGAGATGCAGCAACCACTTCCCAGAGATCAGCTCTGGAACACTGAAGTTGAGATCTGCAGCGGTGCTTCTGCTCCAACAGATAAGGACTCCTACCACACAAGAGATACAATCAACAATAAGAAGAACAGCTTCTTAATACCAATTAAGTATACAAAACTAAAATACACCTGTATGGAAGAAAGTAGTCTATAAAACAACCCACTGAAGACATCTTAAGATGAACTCTTTGCAAAGAAGTTAACGCTCTTAAATAAAAATATAAAATTACTTTGTACCTCAGGAATGGATCCTGATCCAACATTGATAGGGCTTGGAACCACTCCAACGATCAACATTTTAAGTTATATGCTCCTATTTCCAAGGCAGAGCAAGAAGTTGAATTGTAGCAGAAGCAAAGAAACTCTTGTGACATCTCTCTGTAGTGTTGGTCCTCAACTACCAACAGGAGATGGATGAGAAGGTGCTGAAAGATAAACCAGCCTGTACATCTGTGAAGCTAACATCAGCTCTGCAGAAGGATAACTGAAAGCCGTAACAAATCTTCCTTTTGCTATTAGATTCGAAGAGATACTATTTCAAATGCATTAGGTCTACGCCTAGTCCATCTCTTAATTAGACTGCACAAAGCAACACAGAATTTGAATTCCAACAGGTCATCTCCTGCCTTGCCAAACTACATTACTTGGCAGAGAAGTGATGCAATAAGAAGTCATTACTCAAGAAAATGAAATCCTATTTATTCATATGGCCTTGGGCATACCACACTATATAATTTGGAGATTCCTATGCAATGTGACATAGATTTGTATGTATTTCTCTTTCTTTCTGTATTGTTTCTAAATGAACATCTTGAAAAGAAATATAAAATCCAAGCTCATTAACACCTTTGGCTTCTTTTTAAAATAGTCATTCCAAACTACCATCCTCAGACACACAAGTATTATTCTCCTTCTCACACTGCGATATACAGGAGAAAGCGCAAGTCATACAACATGTGTAATAAAAACACAAAATGCTGACAAATTCAACAGGCTTGGAGTGGGGGTTTTTGATGCTAAGTTCCAAAACAAACAAAAACAACAGCAAAAACAGCTACTACATTTGGTCTTCTTTGTGAAGTAATACTCAAAAAGATCTCTTTTAAAGAAAGTTGCCTTGCAGATTAACATTTCTGAAAGTGTAAAAATCTCCTTTTTGTCCATCTCATTCTTTAAGGTCACTAAATCCAGACCATCTGGATAATAAAGTTAGCAACTTAGTTCCCTATTTATCTAATTAAAACTTCTGTACAGCTCATATGGAAAATTTGTCTACAGCTAAAAAACAACTGAAGTGTAAAAAGCAGCTGCAGGGAAATGATGTCACTCGTACAGCATTAATGCAGGCAGAGCTGGCTGTCAGCGTATCAGCACCAGGAAGATCCTGATTTATTGTTAATCTCATCTTTTGTGCCAAATAACCTATTAAAAAAAAAAAACAAACCCACAAAAAAACAACACAAACAAAAAACCAAAAGCCAACCACAAATTCTACAGAGCTTTCAGCCAAATCCTACTCTCAACTAAAGCATCAGTGGTAAATTTTCAGCAAGATCATGACTTCAAGCCTGGGATTTTGTAGTAATTTTTTTTTTTTTTGTACAGAACTGGTCCACTTTTATCAGGAAGGATAAAAGGATGAATCTTTAGCTGTTTTCCCCCATCAAAAATATAAGCAGCAAAACTACGCAAAGCAGTCTCTCTTCTCTCATGGGCAGAGACCAAGAGGACTCGGTTTTGCTAATTTTGACCATTGCTTATGTAAATGCAGGTGATGAGAGGACAGGCATCGTTTTGTCCCAGCAGGTAGCTCATGTTTCCACAACCATCACCTTCAATGCACAATTCTCTGTTGCCAAAAAGTAGTTGTTTGCCAGCTACTACTTTTAATTTACAGGCAGGACACGTTCTCTTAATTTTTTGCTCTATAGGGTTATGCATGTTGCCAAAAGATGAGTGCAGGGAAGGTGTCCTCTCTCTTTCCAGGAGACCCTCCTCCATCAAGAACAAACAGGGGACAGATAACTCTTTTGCAGTCCTGAAGGATGAGGGTTCAGGTTCAAATCTTTCGCGAAAAGTTCCCTAGCAATGCTCCAGCAGGCTACAGATTTGCATACAAATCCTATGACAAGTTAGTTCCTAGTAACCCCATTTGTAATAATCGAGCATCACCTTTAGGCTGCAGCGTCTTCTGTAGTTTGTCCCTCAGAAATAAAGTGCTGCCTCCCTTCCTCTCTCATATAAAGAAGCAATTGTAAAATGAACAATATAGACGACCGCTAATGCTTCATCAAGACATTACACTCGTTCCTTAACAGTAAAATATCAACAGAAAATAAATACTTTTCTACAAGTTTTCAGAGAGGTTTAAAAAAAAAAAAAAACAAAACAAAAAACAACCTAAAATTCACATCATATGAAGATGAAAGGATGTAAAAATGTAACGTGTTTATTTAACTAAGTGCATTACAAACAAGAAACTATTTCATAGCACCTACACGTCTGCTGGATATGAATTATAACTACGGTGTCGTAACCTGGAAACAAGTTTAACATTGTTATACACAAGCATTGTGTGTAATGCACAAACGTTAGACAAAATAGCTCTTCCCAGTCAATTCTGGACTCCTTGCTATACGCACACATGCTCAAAGTATATCATATTTCATTTTTAACAGAAACGTGTATATATACTGTCACCTTTTTGCTCCCTAGACCATAGTCAAATACGACTCCAGTGTCCCAATTAAGTATTAGTTTTGGCACTGTCAACACAAAACCATAATGCAGATTCAACAAATAAAAGCACCCTCCATTTCGTCCACAAACCCATCACATAGACTGCCTCGAAATCCTGAGCCTGCGAGTCTATTTTAAAACTAAATCTTTAAATACGTATCATTGATATATGACGGCGATGAGCAAGTTACAAGTGGATTGTAACCAAGCTCAATTACTTTATCTGGTAAGAATATGCTTACCAACTGAAAGCAGTTACTAAACATCAGAGTGTAACAAAAAGATTTACCAATAATGCAGAGCAAATAGATAACTCGTCAAAACTAATGAAAGTTTTATTTTAATAAAATATGTCAGCAGATTTCTCCAAAACGTTTTGCATTCTTTTACTTACACATTTCACATTGCCTTACTCTACTTGGACTTAACCAGCGCATGAAATTATCTCTTTTCTTATAGCTGTTCACATTTTTCCTGAGTAATTAGCAAGCTACATCCCCTTTGACAGAGGAATACTAACAAGCTCCTACAGTTTCCAGTAGGACAAGGAATCCAAAGCTACTAATAGCAAACAAGTCATTTAAGCAAAAAAGGATTACAAAGGTTCGTTGCAAGAGGCTGGAAACTCACCCGTATTTCAGATTAAGGCTTTCTGAGGAGCTCTTTTGTAATGAGTTTTGACTCCATTTTACAAAAATAGTTCATTGTTTTCTTTCAACAACCAAAATATTGATTTGGATATCTATTAATAATTTCTTCTTTTTGAAAATAATTAAGTACCAGAAAGACGGAGAAGTGTTTTCCAAAGGGAAAATGACGGAAACATTAGTTTTGTAACAAAACCTCCCTCCCAAGGTCTCAAAGCTTAAAGAAAACAAAAATCACGACTTTTTTTGAAAGAAGTTTTCCATTCTTCGCTACCGGGACACCAAAACAAGTTGCAAATCAAGCCAGAGCGCAGCTTATTTGTAAAATTTCATTGCCACAAATCCCTACAACCGCGTCCCTGTGAAATAAAGGTGGGCGTTTAGATGGGCGAGAGCTCCTAAACAAAGGCAGAGAGATCAGCGTACCTTGAGGACCTCCATGGGTACCTGGGTGGCGGGGGGCAGGCTGGTGGGGACACTGACGTTGATGGCAGGTGTCTGGCTGACGGGAACTCGCTGCTGCATGAACTGAGCTGCTTGCTGCTTCTGCTGCTGCTCCCGACGCTCCTGCTCCTGCATCTGCTCACGCATGAGCTGCTGTCGTAGCAGGATTCGTGAGGTCATGCTGGAGGAGCTTAAGGGAGGCTTGGAAGCGCCAGGATGCTCGGAATTGCTGTGGGAAGACCAGAGAAAGACAGCTCAGCTTCTACAAGCAGGATCATGGCTCCAGAGGCTGGAGCTTGCAGAATTACACTGGAACATGGGGCGGGATGGGTGAGAATATGCTGCACCAAGCAAGGGGGAATTCAGAGCCGACCTACTTCAGGTACTTAGCAGGCACATTAGGCTGCCTTAACTTGACTGCAGCTCACCCCTTCCAAACGCCAACATCCAGCCGTAAAGAGCTATTTGCCGTCTCAATTTTTATAGCAACCATCCATGAGAAAAATAAATACTTTTATAGATAGCATCAGGCACTAATATGCCTTTTTTTAAAAAGTAATAAAGGGCTGTATCCACTCTAATGATAGGTATAGATAATATTCCAGGTCTAATGATCTAGCTCAAAAATAAATGGATAAATAAATCTATCTTTCCCATGAAAGCACAACATAACAAAGTTCAGCTATTTTCTGCAAAATACAACCTTGGGGTTGGATTTGCTGGTGGCAATGCTCTTCATAGATAGAAACCAGACCTCCTCAAAAAAGAACCCAACTCCCACTTCAGGCCTACCAGCATCTTCCGAGCGCAGTGAGATACAAGAACAGGCAGAATAAACAACAATAATGGTTTTATTTCAGTCACACTTTATAAAGCATACCAGGCTGGCCTGAGCTAGCACACCGCACTGCTTCACCACCTAAGAGCTATTTCTAAGCCACTGGCAAGCAGAGCTTCTGACCAGACAGCGTGGGACAAGCCATGGGACTTTGCCATGGACTGCAGGGACACCTTCTGAAGCAACCCACCACTTTGTTAGCCCTCAGAACTAAAATCCATTTATAAGACATTTCTGCAGCATAAAGACACATCCTTTGAAGGAAGGATGTTGGAAGTGGGTAAGAACACATGACTCCATACAAGAAAGAGCCACAGTGCATATAATTCAGGATATTTGGTTTCTGATTCTGACTGCTGCAGCTGATTGCCATCAGCTCATGGAAGGAAAAAGGGCTCATGAGGCTATAACGATGCAGGGCCATGCCTGGGGAAGCCAGCAGTAACCCTCCCGCTCTAAGAGGAGGCTGCTCTTGAAAACCGCACCTCTGACTCCAGTGTTTAAGTGGTACCCACAGGATGCTGACAGGACAGCTTGCAAAGGAGTCCAGGAGCCAGCATCCCTTCCAGGTCTTGCCTGGAGGCTGCAGGTACCAAGAGCTACTTGTGCTTGGGCATCCAGAGCCATCGCTGCTGGAAGTTTTCTGGCTTTGTTTAGGACTGATGTCGAAAACAGCTTAGAGTAGAAACGAAAAAGGAGAACCTGCACTTACTTCCCCAAGAGCTCCAACTCTGCTTTTCCAGAGCACACATTTTGGGGGCAGGGAGGCAGGGGACCATCTTGCTATTTAAGACCTGTCAGGTTGAAACATTCATAGAGACACTGATCCTTTTGATAAAACAAGAGAAAACCTTTGTGGTGAAACTAATGCAGCTGTGGAATAATCGTACTAATTAGCTGCTCAAGACAAGTCATTGACTGTGATACTTGCAAAAAACACCACCCTTTCAATTAAGGGCAAAGCATTCTCACATCTAAACCCAGCGGCATGTTTCCTGGCTTGCACACTTCCAAACTGAGGAGATGCTTTATTTCCATGACCAGGATAGTTATAGACCAGTGGTCTCCCAATTTTTTTGATCACGCACCCCTACCAGGAAAAAAAAAAATGTTTGAGCATAGACCCTCAATATATGTATATTTATTTAATTATGAATTATATACACGTATTACTGAAGTGTTAATATTTTCTTCCCGCCCACTAATAATATGGCACACCCCACTTTGGAAACGACTGTAACAGATGAGAAAAAAAGTGGCACTCAAATGCTGCTTTTAAGGAAGGATTCATTCTCCTCATGTTGAGGAAAAGCTTGTTTTGTATCACACTAAGCAGGACTTTCATTTGTGTGCTACTGGCGTTTTTTACAGATACCTAATGCTGTAAAATTGGTAACCCAGCAGTTCCTCCCACCTTCTTCCATTTTGAACTGTTTCTCTGCCTACCAAAGCCAAGTATGCTGAAAATCATCTCAGAAGAACTTTCCCATATACTAAAATTTTGAGGAATGCGAGGGAGAAGGAAGGAGAAATGATTTCCATGGCATTTCAAACAGGCCCTGCCAGGAACTTCATCTCGCTCACACAATTACTGTACCTACTCACACCAACAACTCAACAACTGTCCTTACAGTTTGCTGCAGGTGACTCAGGGGTCTACTGTGGATTGAAAATTCCCAACAAAAGCTTTTGAGTATTGTGTCCTTAAAAGAAACAATAGTCCCAGAAAATGCTGTTCTGCCAAATTCTTCCCCAAAGGGCAGAGACACTTCCAGGTTTTATTTCTTTTGCAATTCTGCTCAGTATTTTAATTATTCACTGGAAAAAATGGCTTAGGTGTAATTAGGTAGTGCAAGGTCAAGCAATGTAGTTTTTAAACAAGTATCAAAAGAAGAGCAGAAAACAGCAAGGGGAAGAAGAGTCTGATCTTATTCACATCCAGAACACCAGATTTTGGTGGCCAGATGAGAGGGAAGAAAAAGCTTGAGAGGAGATTACTGAATGTCCTGTTCATCCGTATTTCAAAGGAGAAGCCAGAAACCAGCATAGCTACAACAGAGCCGTGAGCTTAGAGGACGCATCGTTCTCTTATTTGTGCACGTTATAATTTTGGGCAGTGGAGAGGTGCACAAGCCCTGAACGCGGGTAGCGCTGGCAGCAACGTGCTGCCAGATTGCAGCTACCGCCATCAATGCATTTGAGTTCAAATAACACTTTTATCTGTGATAAAAGCTGCTGCACAACACCTGCCTGCCTGACAAGATGCTCCTGTCGCAAGCACTGCGAAGGAAACTGGACAAACGCAACACAGGTCCTGCCACACAGATTTCCCTGTTATTTATCCCGTGGGGGCTGTAAAGCTCCTGCCGTGGGCAAACTGGTCTCACCACACCAGCACTCCCCTTCCATTCTCCATGAGTGGCACTGATCAAGTGGCGAAAACTCTTTGAAACTTTGGCGTCTCATCCTTCAAGCCTGTCCCATGCACAAAACGAACTGTCCTCCCGTCCAGCTTCCCTTCCCACCACATCTGCTCCTCTTCTCAACTGCAGGATGCTCCGCGCAAAGCTGTGAGGTGGAATGGAAGATGGTTTGGGTTTCATCGCCATGTACCGTCCAGCGAGCAAACAGGAGAAGGTTTGTCAGAAACTTAAGTTTTGCAATCAAAAAAGCAATTAAAAATGTGTTGTGTCAAAGGCTTCATTATGAGAGTTTTGAAAATTCATATTTTTAAAGCTTCTTGATCCTTACACGCTGCTGCACAGGTAGATCTCCCATGATCAAGCACGGTGCCATGTACCGCAGTACGACCCAGAACCTGGACACGTGGATTGCAAACTCTCACATGTGAACTGATTCACCCCTGGATTATGTAGAGTCTGTAACAGAGCCCACACACATAACTGATACACGATGTGATTTAGACACTTCCTGCAAACACAGTTTATGGATACCATTTAATTGCAATAAATGAAACCAACTCATCCTTTTAATTGACATATGATTAAACTGGTTATCCATTAGCAGTCTAATAAGCACAGTGTAATACAGACTTAGAGTTATTAGTTATGAGTGTCATGTGCCAATCCAATTAATCATGAAGTGATAACGTTTTATTAAATAAGTTTAAATTACATATCCTTTGCATAGATGCCTGGGAAATGTTAGTTACTGCATGCATAAGTTATAATGAAGATGGCCGTTGCATAATAAAAGGCGACCGATCAGATTAAAATCAAGTTTGATTCTGTTGCCATCAACTCAAGAGATTACAGAGACCATACCTTTTAGAGCCTAATCTGCCTTCCCAGACGTGTACTGATCATTTTATCTCTGTCTCCTTAGGCACAAAGACACACTTGTCTTTTGTTGGCCAGTTTTGTTTCCAGATTCTTATAAACTGATCAAACAAGTTCTCTGGTTCACATGCATTATTTATATGAGTTGTCTGGTTTACGAACATTATTTTGCATTAGCTATGTATTCATTAAGAAACTCCTCTGGAGATTTTGAACTGGAAAAAATCAGCTTTGCTTTTTAATTACTGTTTTAGAATTATTTTTTATTTTAAGAAAAAAAGAAAAGCCTACAATGTAAGGTTTCTTAGACAAATTACAGTAATTAAAAACACTAACCAGCTCCTCAAACCTAAAGCTTCCTCAAACAGAGATGTACATGAATCAAATAAAATGCATTTACCAAAAAAAAAAAAAAAGCTTTCAAAACCACTTGGTCTGGCCAGGATCGACTTCCCTGCTCTAAGCAGAGAAATGGCACACAAGAGGGAGGCTGTTGCTCTCCTCCATTCATGCCAACTGTTTGTTAATGGGTTAGTCCACAGAGAAATCAGCCAAGAAAAGCAGATTTAGCATCTCAAGAAATCCACTGAGCTGCACCAGATCTCAGAGGTCAGAGGTAAGAAATAACACAGGATTTAAGTGTTTGTGTTTCACCTCTTACCCTTATCCCATTCATAATTATTTATAGAGAAAAGTAAGGCATCCACATTTAAGTATCTGACATTAGCATAAAACTATCTTCATCTTTAAAGCAAGCAGATAGAGGTTGCCAACTTTACAACTCAAAATACTTGGCTTGACCTCCAGAAGGCATTAGCAGAACAGACCACTGCACAGCTCCCCTTCCAACACTCCTCCTGTTCAATGACCACTGGAGTTTCCTCAAAACTGAAGTTTATTTGTCCAGATTCTGTTTTCAGTGTCTCCACCAAGCAGTAAAACTTCAACGAACTTTTTGTGGCCAGTACTATATATGTGGCTGAAGCAACATTTCCAGCAGCATCTAACCTGCCAGTCAGCATCACTTTTTGCCGCAGAGAAGGGTGATGGAAAACAGAAGGATACCAAAAGAAAACAGATAAATGCAAGAGGCAGTCTGATTACCCCCA